CGCCATATAGCAGACCGTAAACTCGAGTTTCTCCAATTAAAATCACAATAGAAGAACGTATATGTGCTTAATGTGCATATTACGCACGTTGTCGATCTGAATAACATCGTCAATTTCACGTACATATAAGCATTATTTCGCGAAAATTCATGGAGAGCATTAAGAGTAACGGTTAATTCTCTTAATTAGAGTATATCGTGCACAGTACTAGATATACATATATTAATATAATTAATATTATATGTCTCTCGAGATCTCTCTGCACATACGTAAGCACGAAAGAATATACGTATATGTACATATATAGATATTTTACCTGTCCAAACACCATTATTCTTGCCAACGGACCTAGAATTTTTATGGTAGTTGGAACGACATCGAAATAGTCAAAGCTTTAAACTCGCATATAATTTCCATATAACCTGCATTTTTAAATTGATGAAGCTTTTTTTCATTTTCTTATTAAATGCCTTCGTGCACGGATTTTTTATGCACTTTGTACAGGTGCACGCGTCTAAAAAAAATTAAAGTGCACGTACGGCACCATATCGCGGGTAAGTAAAAATTTTATTTTTGGTTCCCGTTTAAAGCGCGCCGAAATATTGCATAACTGATCAAAGAAAAACTTGCACGTAGAGTCTCGCGGATGAGGATTCTAATTGGCGAAGCATACAAGAAGAGGAGCAGAGGAGACGATGGTATTTCGCGCTCTCATTTTCTCGTCGGCGACGTTTCTTTGATCAATCGGACGGCCGAGTCTAGTCGGCGGGAAACGTGACGTAAGATCCGCCGGACCAAGTCGTACGGTTACAAACGGAAACTACCCCCGAAGTTCGGATGGCCGCGGCCGGATTGGCTGACGCGTTTGAAGTCTCTCCCGGAGAGGGAAGCTCCTTATCATCATGCCGGTCGTATAACTGTGCGCCAGGGTGTACTTATACAATATATATATATATATATATACCCCATCGAAACCGAGCGTTTCCACACGGTCGGCTTCGAAACATTTCAATTACTTATGCCATACCAGCTTTCTCTCTCGCGCACGCGCTGCTTCCTGTTTCTCTCTATTAAGCGAGTGACTTAACGGCGCAGCCTTTCGCAGTTCGCTCTCGCAGTGCGGAATCTTAGAATCGACTTTGGGATTTCGATATAGACGCGAGAATCGTTTGAGTTACCGCTCGACGTACTCTCTCCCGAATCTGCGGGAGATTAAGCTGAGCGTAAACGCGATGTCGGTTCGTTTATGGAAACACGTGCACACGGCACATTCATTTTTAAATGATCCGTTATGTAAATATAGTATCGGAAATCAGTCGTCTGTGTGATGCGTTTTGCAACTTTAATTCGATCGCAACTCGTGAGTTACGGAGGTACTTTTGAACTTCTGTTATCTGAAATGTGCAGAATATTGTAATTGGGGATGCTGGTACCCAGAAAGGAAAAGAATACAAGGGAAATAAAAGGCAGTATTCTTTTTTCCGATTTACGTTTTCTACCTCGATTTATTTGAATTCAAGTATCGTTTAATTCTGCTTAATTATGTAATTAAAAATTTCGCTTTGTTGTCGTTAAAAAATGAGAAAGTACACGAAAAAAAAAATTCTCTTAGAATTCACCCCGTGAGACAATATAATATTGAAAGAATTTTATAAGAATTTTTTCTGATATTAATATCTACCACAATAAGATATAAAATATGTTCGATTAATTTTACTATATAATAAAATTTACCATGTACATATTAATATTTTTTATCGTGGTAAAGATCAATCAGAAAAAACTCTTATAAAATTCTTCTCAATTCTACGAGAAAATTCTCTCTGCGTAGATAATTTTATATTTATTTTGACAATTATACGTTCCTAAGTGGACTCGTGAAAATAATTTTTAACCCGTTCCACGTTTCTCGAGGACGCACTTGTTGCGCAAAGAAGTGTCATTCGCAAAAATCAACACCCGCAATATTATCTCGAACGTGTCGAAAGCGTTTTCGGAGCCGCGGTCATTTCGCGTTCGGACGCGCGTTCGCCGGATAGATAAAGTTTTATATCACTGCCAGCCTGTGTTCTACGTGGCTAAGTGCACAGGCAACTGTTTGCGCACCGGTAAGCGGTTTAACCGCGAAGCTATATCGACGGTAAAACTAGCGTATCTCTCCTACCCGCGATTTTTCGCGTCAATTTTCTCTTTTCTCCCTCGCCCGAGAGTCGAAATGTTCTCCACTTGATAAAGCGCGAGCCTGTCGATTCGCAGCCTCCGCTCGTTTCTCTCGTAGGAGGATCTATCTACGCGAAAGTTAAGCGCTTTTAGATGTCCGCCCGCTTCGAAAGTCATAGCTCTAAAGATAATCTCTCCCGCTCATGCGAGTTCAACGAGAACTATTATATACGCATACGAATACAATCGCGCGTTCTTATCTCCGCCGCTTTGAGAACTACTCAGTATTCATGTGTATCGGGCTTTCACTGTGTGATTATTCATACTCTAGGAGGCTTTACTAAGAATTACAGTTCGAGCTCTATCTTAGAATGCTTCTACATCGCTACCTTCCCTCGTCGAGCTTCCGCGAAGTAATTTTAATCCATTTTGCAGTATTTGCTCGCGCGCGTGCGACGAATTTTTTTCGGACACGCGTCGTTTCTTTCTTTCTTCGCGTCTGCTCGTCTTGGAAAAAAATAAGAGAGAAAGAGAGACCATTTTATTTCACCGCGTTTCCATGCGGGTTTCATTCACCCGCCTTCCTTTTGTCCATGGCGCGCGAGTGTTCGCGCTAAAGCGGAACGCTAAAATGAATGGTCGGAGAATTATTCACTTTGGGAATCTCGGCGAGTTGTGTTGGAAGAAGGTGGGGATGCGGGACCGAGATAAGATACGACTTCATTTCCGCCTCGCGGCTGCACTACGCTCCGCGAGCGTCGTTCATTTCCTTCGTTCACGTCGGGGAATAACTGCGCGAAGTCGGCGCATCGAAGTTAATCTTTCAACATCTTGAGAAGAGACACGATCGCGAGCCTGCCGAGAGCCTGCCAGTAGATATTGCGGCCAAAGTGACACGTAAATTATTAAAACAAGTCATCCGCGATGACACCCTTTTTCTTTTTAGAGTGAACGTCACTCCCTTGATGCTTATTATTTACGAAACTGCACTACTGAGAGCGGAAGTTTTATTGGTACATGTATAAAATTAACATCGGAATACAATATTATTTTTTTTTTTTTTTTTTTTTACGTTAATTTTTTGATCCCGATGCGCGAAGGGTGATGACGGAAAAATTCCAGATGAATTCTTTGAAGAAATTTTTACGGAAATCTCTTTAGCTCTCCGGAACGGTCTTACTTCATCCAGAGAAAAAGGCTTGCACCGTTCTCTCGATACATTGTATTATATCTTATGTGGTACGAACCGTGCGGAAGTTTTGTAAATTGGTCGCTTTGCTAGAACAAGGAGAATGTAGCGCGAGCGATGAATTTTAAGACAGGATACGTCGCACGTCCAGAGGCAAATCTAACCGAATTTATTCAAATCCCTATCGTTTTACCCTTCTCTAGCCGTAGGGCGGCAGCAATAAGTCACCGTCGTGGATGGTCTCTATGAATAATGCAACTTACGAGAAACTTTTTCCGCAGAACGTATAATATGGCACGATGCAGAGGAAAAAAACATAGATATATATTTCTGCAACCCTTTCAGAGGTCAAGCTTGTATACTACGGAAACAATGCTTTAAACAAATGATTTGTATAAAATGCTGGATTTTTTTTTTTCAAAAAAGAGAACGCGATATGTTTAAATATTCGTCCAGCTTTTATTACCGCGCTTTTAAAATATTTCGTAGGGAATACGAAACTATCTTAAATTCCGTGCGCTTTCTATTATCTACGGATTTCGTAAAAATTCATCTCTAAAAAAATATCGAATATTTTACAATGCTTTCTTAAATTTGGAACTCGAGGAGCAAATAAAATAAGAAAATTTCTTTCGATTGTATATTAACAGAATTTCAATTTTTAATCACAGAGTTAGTCGTAATTGCGAGCTGTTCCTTGGAGCAATTCCGGTATCGTCATCGCCGAAAGGATAAGAGGATAAACGCGTTATAGGGCAAAACAGGATGGGGAAGATTCGCTCATTGGCTGCCTTACAGTTGACATAGTTTCCCATCATAGCCGCACGATCGATACTATCACGCCGACATTGCGATTTTGCCTAAGATCATCGTCCCAATAAGCGTTTCGCGCCAACCACTACGTTTCAATCTTAATGGGCCATTGTCGATATGTAGTTTCGCGGTTCGCCGCGTATGATATGACTGATGTCTGGGCTTACCGTTAATGCCACGATAATATCGATCACGGACAGGGACGGTCTCATCAGGTCATTTCAAAGTGTCAAACGCACAGCGCAGATCTGTGCATTGTTGCGAGCTAACGAGAAAGTATCGATCACTGCTGTCAATCAGTATAGATCGCAAATTAAATCTCGACTAATCAATTCGAGCAAAGGATAGCTGAGCTTTTGTGAAAATGCTCTGATTTTGTTGAACTTTATGGTCTTCTTTATAAAGAGAAGATATATTCCAAAAAGATTGATGACTTTTTCGACGTATCATCTCACTATGTAAAATCTCTACTTCAAATCTTTTTATGCTATTCGGTTTGAAGGAGTAAATTTTAGTAGTTGCTAATTTTCATTTGTAATATTATCGTTACCAAATTTTTCGTAAATAAACTCAGAAATGTGAAAATAATGCGCACGAGGATGAGAGACGGAGAAATTGATAAATTAATTGATAATTTAATTCTTCTGAAAGCGTCACATAAATTATGCAAAGTAGAATGTAAATTTGTAAGAGTCATCGTATAATGAATGAGAAATATACGACAGGCGGTAAAATATCGCGCGAAGGCTTTAAATGCCACGAACTGACTGCGTCGTGAAGGAAACTCCATCCGCCGCGAAAGAGAATAAGAGCAAGAGACTGAGAGAGCCAAACTCACCGATACTCCGATCCCTCGCTCAGCTGTCTGACTGTAATAGGAAATTCGCTGGGTCCATGCGCTTTCAGAAGTTCCTGCAATCGCACGAGCCCCTCGTTGTTCTCGTAGATAATGGTGAAACTCTTCCAGCCCCAGGCCTTCACCAGATCGACGTACGCCTGAAAAGCGGGCAATCAATCACAAGCTGTGTTATTATTACACTGTTAACCTGCTAACCCGACTGTCTCAACCACTGCCTTAACATCTCTTTTACATCTCTCATCATATCATTTGACTATCTACATCGATTGCGATAATATGCTATTACACGCAAAAGTAATGAGTACGATAAATATCTCTCTCGTCAAAGAGTAATAATATTTTATATTATTTTACATATTATTTATATAAAATATAATGTGTTGAAAAAAGGAAAAAAGGAAGAGTGAAGAGAAAAAAAAAGGATGTGTATGTATATTATATTGTTGAATCTGTGTAACTGTAGCACGCGAATAAAAACTTAGGATATGAAAATTTGAAAAATGAAATGGAAAATTAAATATTATATTTAACATTTAATGTGAAAGCTAATTGAGATTTACTAGATACATTCATGCAAAATAACACGTTCATCTACGTTTATATAAAAAAATATGTAAATTCGACACAAGCGTGAAAACTGTGTTTGCGCTTGCAGATCTATAGCTAGTAACAAATTGCATATTGAGATGAAATACAACGGTCCATTGGCAAGAAGAATTCGCGTACCGGATGTACATGTTTCGCGTGTTCCAAATTCCGTTAGAGTTTTGAATTACAATACGTTGCCGATGAAATGTCATCGGCGTTAGTTATAAATCGGAGCAGAGTTTGAATGCAGGTTCCATAGGCAAACATAGAAAATCATGGGACACTAGTTATGGTCAATGTTTCTTTCTGTGTTATTTATATGTCTTTTTTTTTTCGTTGCTTTCTCTGTTAGACTTATTTATATCGGAATAAGTTGATTGTTGGACACATTCTGTATTCTGGAAAGTCTCCGCGTTGTTAGTCGTAATGGCATATTTAAGACCATTTTCTTATCAAGGACTTACCATCGGCTCGAGCAACTTTCCTTAAAGTATCACGTAAATTTATGATCCTATTGGTTAGTATCGACTCTTTAATAATTATCATTACTAACGAAAGTCAGTAAAACAAGAAAACTTTATTTAAGAGGCTTTAAGAGCATATATTTTAATTTTGTATATATGAGAAGAAAACTATGTATTTTATACACACACTTTAAAACACATACCTTTATATACATATAGTATATTGTTATTTTACATGATTTAATTCATGTGTATTAATATTATATTTTCCCATGTATATAACAACATAAACGCAACAAAGAAAAATAACATCAATTGTATTTTAAAAGAGCCTTTTCTCTGCTGTATACTCCTTCCTGCTACACATTATATCACGATGCAACAGAGTGCCTTCTGCAAGAGTAGTTTGTAAGAGACTGCAACTTATTTTACCGCGCAGTAGAGCTCGTCTATAGCCCAGGCTTTTAACTGGGAAAACAACTATTACACAGTCGCGATGCTCTCCAATGGCCGAATCGAAGGCGAGCCGAGATGCTTTCACAGGAATTCACTTTGCTGGTAACGCACACTTCGCAGCCGCGCTTTTTCCGATAATCCGAATTCGCGCTATGAAAGGACGAATGTATATTTTCCAACCGGAAACCTTCGCCGTGGTTTTGCGCGCCATCCTCTTTCACTTTTTATCTTTTTATCTCTTTTTACGCGTACTTCCTCGCGCAAACTTCAAAATTTTATATTACCCACCGTCTCGAGATTTCACTTTGCTGCGCTTTTAGCGAAGGGAAACCAAGTATCTACTAGCTGCATAATATTCATCTTGGATAATTCCAGCCATTAGAACTATAACGTGAGGATGTCACGTTTCTTTACGTTCTTCACATCCTTAAATTAACTTTTAATTTCTATCTCGTCCGCGGATAAATTATTTCGCAAGCTTTGCCAGATGAATTCTGCGCGTCTGATTGCCTTGTTACATGCAGTATAACAAAATGCTAAATTTTCTTATTACGGATAAAAATATACAGAACACGAGGATAGTCGTGACTCTAGTGGTATGAAATTTATCTTCTTCATTTGAATGTATCATGATAAAAAAAATGAAAAAAATAAAATTTGATATTTGAAGATTTGGCTCACGATTTTATATCCTTATTTCTATTTGAATATCATATTTTTTATTTGTTTCTTGGATTCATAGTAAATTTTTTTCTCTACACAAAGGAAACATAAAACTTAACTTGTTTAAAAATTTCAAGAATAACAATAAAAAGAAGTTTATAGTCTCTTCGAGCTTAGTAGTAATAGATCATTCTTGCTAGCTCGTGTTTTATTTATGCTCGTATCCTTTATCGTATTTATATCGCGCACTTAGCATTACTAAGATCGAAAGTTCTAAATGTACAACATTAATAAGAGTGGATTACTTTGAAAGTGCTGTAAGTCCAACTTCGGAGCACGTTTAAGTGGGATGCGAATGGAAATTACTACGATGTACCTACTTTAGAAAGCAAGATATTCAAAACTTATCTTACTCCGCTTCCAAAATCAACTCATCCATGAAATTTATTACAGGTGCTAGGCGCGTGCGATGCTCCGATTTTGAAGATAATAATTTTATAATGTCGCGGATCGCTTCATCGTTGCTCGTTATTTTATGCGATGCAAGTTTATTAAAAAAAAAAGAAAGAAAAATATATACTATGCAGATTTCAATGACCATTGTATGTGTCATTTTTGTTCATTTTTTTTTACATGCTAAAACTGCCGACGGTGTGGTTATCGACCCCGTTACTTGTCCATTTGCGATGCTAACAGGCTCGGTTGTCATAGAAAGCGTAGACAGCGACTGCTGTCCGGCGAATAGCCAGGTCGCATTCATTAATAATATAGTGATTATATACTGTGAATTTTTGTCAAAGAGGGGAAATTTGCTGAATTTCGCAAATTACGCTTTTGAGCGTTTAACAGTACTCGGCAGAGTAATTTATAACAGTTTTTTGCTGAGAAAATATGACGGAATAAATATTTCGAGAAATTATGTATTCTATGTATTGGCAGTTTTAGTAAAATAAAAAAATAACTTATTGTTAGACGTTTCAGAATATATTAATTTTAATTTTATGAAATGTGTTTCAGCACGAGACCCGTTTTTATTTAAAAATTCATAATATCTAAAATTTCGTAATATCCAAACACGATTAAACTAGGTCGACAGTGTATCACACCGAAATAACGTTTGTTCAAACTCGTAGAATGACAAATGTAGCTTGTGGTTAGCTTTCTGAAATGTTAATGTCTTGTCCACATCCCTATTCCTAGCTACCACAAACAGGTTCTTGTGTTTGAACAACCATACGGCTATTGTTTTTCTTCTTTATTACATAATTTGCAAAATTGAATTAAAATTTAATGAAAATTTTCCATTAATATTCAATTAAATTAAATTAATATTAAATTAAATCGATACTTGATAAAAGAAACAGCAAAAACGTGCAACTATTTCAGTAAATTTTAAAGAGATAGTCTATAAGTTATTAAATAGAACGATTTATGGAAATTGAAAATGCACCGCTAAAAATATAATAGCGGCTTTACAGGAAACAGTTTCTAAGACTGTACATAAATTAACATCCGTTTTGTGTGATGTATTTCGGAGGTTTGCCGTTGGGTGAACAAAACAGTGCGCTTGAAATGTTTTCCACCTGTAGTGCGAAATTATCATCGGTTCAACAAGACCGATGTAATTTACACGACAGTCCAATTTCGGTAGCCTTCTCCCGTTTTTTGGCCGAAATGTTTCGGAAAGGGAATAAATCCGGTCGTTGTGTTCGGACAGTATTGATCATCGCCGTACACCCGTGCATCTTCCATAATCACGAGAGAGTTGGCGAATCTGATCACGACAACTATGCGTAGCGTGTCCGTCGCATATTCGCACGTGCCGACCAACCGGTACCTCTACAAATAGCGCAACCACCAGCCAGATTCTCTTGTTCGCCTCCGTCGTCTGTTTTGCGCATGTAATATATCACGACTGGATCGATGTTTAAATTACAGTCAGTGTAGTGCACATAAATTGCAGCTCGCGATGCTTGTAAAATATCTGAGTGTTTCGTAGCGCGGCTTGCGTGGCGAGGCTTGTGTGGCGATAATTTTGCCGGCCCCAATAATCAACGACTGCGCGAATCTGGTTTTCTCGTTCGGAAACTGGCTGGATTTTCCGAAGCTATATATTTCCGAAGCTGTTAATGAAAGATGTATTCGTTTACATGAATTTTTATATCATTATAATTAGTTATTAATTATTGTGTACTAATTATGCTTTCGCTATTTAATTATGACTAATGATTTATAAAGATGTTCAACATTAAAAAAAAAAAAATAAGAGAAAAGAAAAATAAAGAATTATCTTGTTTGATGATTTTGATAATTAATCTTCTTCTTGATCCGTTTAGAAACTGTGTTCACTTCTGTTTGAGCATTTCTGCATATTTGTATTCTTTAGAGAATTATAATATTATTTCTATCGTTGTACTATTATCGCATAATTAAAAGTGTGAAATAATTTATTACACATGAATTAAATTATGAATAATATTTCTTAATTGCGGATAACATTGCTGCCTTTTTTAACGTAAATGAATTAATCTTTATGCAGAATTTATAATAGAATAGCTAAAAATTTAATAAGAAAATTAAAACCTATAATAATTAATTATATATTAATAAAAAAACTCCTATTAATCCTATATTTATTTTTTTTTAAATTAAAAAACATGAGGTTTATATAATTGTGATAAATTAAGTAAGATAATAATGTGTTAATATATTAAAAGAGCCACAGTATATAAATTGTTAAATTAACTCATTAACATATTATATATACATATTGTGTGTATACACATCTGATTATCATTTTAATCTTCGTTAATTTATTGTAATTTGATATAAATATTTATATCAATTTAACTATTTCTTATGCTTCTAAATTAGACATTAATTTATATTGCCTAATTTAATATAATTTAACTTAGATAATCTGTATCTGTAGGCATGGCTAGAAATCATTTATGAAATTCAAGTAA